CTTCTCCTTCCCCCTTGTCATCATCGTCGTCATCCTCGTCGTCGTCGTCCCCACGGGGCAAGCCCGAGACTAGAAAATCTCAAGTTGTCGGAGGTAGGGGACAGAGGGGGACGGGGGAGGAACAGGAGGAGGAGGAGGAGGAGGAGGAGGAGGAGGAGGAGGAGGGGGAGGCGCAGGAGGAGGAGGAGGAGGAGGAGGAGGAGGAGGAGGAGGAGAGGGAGGAGGAGGAGGATGAGGAGGAGGAGGAGGAGGAGGAGGAGGAGGAGGAGGAGGAGGAGGAGTGGGAGGAAGGGAGGAGAGGAGGAGGAGGAGGAGCAGGAGGAGGATGAGGCGGAGGAGGAGGATGAGGAGGAGGATGAGGATGAGGAGCAGCATTAGGAGGAGGAGGAGGAGGAGGAGGAGGAGGATGAGGAGAAGGATGGAGAGGGGCAGACAGGACCCAGCGCCGCCGCCGCCCGCGCGCCGAGAGGCACTCAAGACGCCCCGACCTCATGATCCAGGTAAGGGGTGTGCTGACATTGGCGGGGCGCGGGATGCGAACCTTGGCTCCAGGCTGTCGGTGGAGCTCCGAGTTGGGTATGATCCGTGTGAGGAGACGATTAACGTACACGGGTGGGCGTGACGTTATGCGACTGCTCACACCAGGGCCGCACGTGAAACTGCATTCCTCTGAGGCACGATCTGTGTGAAGGGTGTGCCGACATGGGGGGAGGGACGCCATGCAAACTTTATCCTCGGACCAGAGAGTGAAACTCACGGGGGACACGATCCGTGAGGGCCGTTCCGAAATTGGCGGGGGGACGCTTTGTGAACCCTGCCTTCCTCTGGGGCCGTAAGTCTCGGCTCAATCCGCGTGATTGGTACCTGTAACTTCCAGTTCGAACCGTGTGCGGGTCACCACTTCAGTGGAGCTGTCTGTGAGTGAATCGCACCGCCGAGTGAATGTTTGTGGTGATGAGGAGGAGGAGGAAGGATGAAGAAGGGGGGAAGCAGGTTCTTCAGGACCTTGCACGTGTTTCGAAGTCTCTGCGCCTGGCTCGCATCGGAAAAAAGCAGGGACGCCGAGGCTCGGTGAGGGCCCCCGGACGCCCTGCATATATGATCCCGGGCTCTGGGCCCACGGCCCCCCTCCCCCCCCGCAGATGGTATGGTCCCAGGATTCCTCGGCCCCCCCCCCCAGATGGTATGGTAGCAGAGGACGACGACGACGACGACGACGACGACGACGACGACGACGACGACGACGACGACGACGACGACGGCGACGGCGACGGCGACGGCGACGGCGACGGCGACGGCGACGGCGACGGCGACGATTACGACGACGGCGACGACCACGACGACGACGACGGCTGCGGCGGCGACGACGCCGGCGGCGGCGGCGACGACGATGACGACGATGACGACGGCGACGACGACGATGACGACGACGACGACGAGGACGACGAGGACGACGAGGACGACGAGGACGACGACGACGACGACGACCTCTGAACCACCACAGCACCACACCACATCCACAGGGGGGGGAGGGGGGCACCGCAGCGCAGCATCACGCCACGCCCACCTCTGAACCACCACAGCACCACACCACATCCACAGGGGGGGGAGGGGGGCACCGCAGCGCAGCACCACGCCACGCCCACAGGGGCGGGCGGGGGGGACCATCGCGCGGGGGGGAGGGGCCCAATGGCATCTGCATTGGGGGGTGGGGGGGGCCCAAGCCCTGGACCATATATGCTGGCGTACGGGGGGCCTGGGGCCCAGGCCGGGACACCCTCTTCAATTGCCCCCACGACATGTTTGACCTCTTCGGGGCCTCTTGGGGGCCACCCAAAAACGACCAGAGCGGCCTGACCAGGCCGAAGGCGCCCGAATATTGTTTCAAGACTGCTCAAGAGGCCCCGAACACGTCGAATGCTCCGAGATGCGCCTCGAGAGGGCCCCAGGAGGCCCAAACCGTGTCATCCCCTAGGGGGGCGGTGCGTTTTTAGCATGCGTCTTAACAGCGTCCAAAACGGCCCAAGAGGCCTCACAGATCGCCCCAAGAGGCCTCTGGAAGAGAGCCCCAGGACGGCCCAAGAGAGCCCGAAGACGGTCCAAAAGGCGCCCAAGACGGCCCAAGAGGGCCCCAAGAGGAGTCCAAGAGGGGGAACTCCAACTGACATTTCGAGTCTTCCGCCAAGAGTGGGCCCCCGAGGCCGCAGCAGGCACACAAAGGGCCCCCAAGGGCCACACGAGGCCACAAGAATATTCAACACTCGCTCCAAGAGGCGCCCGAGAAGCATGCCAAGAGACCCCGAAGTCGAGATATCCAAGGTATCCACGGTACAATAGCGGTATGGGCCGAAGACCATAGATAGGCAAGCAATTTGTTTGGCGACGGACCCATCTCTATGTAGCTATGTGTAGCACAGGGCGCGGGTCTCTCTTCATACGCTGCGCGCCGAGGGGCCATGCGGAAAGATGGCTGCTGCGGAGCACGCGTTCACCGGTGTGCTGCATTCCTGAATTCCTTGTAGGGCAGGATCCGCGTGAAGGGTGTGCCGAATCATAATTTGGAACCCCCGCGCGAACGCCCCCACTGAGGCCACAGGTGGACTTTCTCCAGGCACGACCCGTGCGAGGCATGTTCCGAAATGGGCCTGGGTACGCCATGCGAATGTGCCCAGCATCGGCGGGAGAGCGCTGTACGAACGAACCTTGTCTCTGGGCCTTCAGGTGGCGCTCCTTGTGGGCACGATCCGCGTCATGGGGTGTGCCGCAATGGCCAAGGGGGGCGCAGTGCGAACTTTGCGTTTGGGGTCGTAGGTGGAGATCCCTGTGGGCCATGATCTGTGTGAGTGCCGACGTAGACGGGAGGGCGGGATGCGAACCTTGTCGGCGGGGCTGTCCGTGGAACTCTTTGCGGGCCACGATCCGTGTGAGAGGTGTGCCGAAGTGAGCGGGGCGACGCTATGACGCTTTACCCTCGTGCCGCGAGAGCAGCTATTTGCGGGGCACGATCCGCGTGAGGGGCGTGCCTCTATGAGAACTTTGTCTCTGGGGACCCAGGTGGATCTCCCTGTGCACGCTTCCTGGTGCACCTGCTCACCCAGTCGGACCGCTATAAACCAACACCGCTGGGGAGCGCTAGCCAAGCCTGTCTCTGGGGCCGCAGGTGGAGCTCCCTGAGGGGCACGACCCATGTGACAATCTATGTCCTCCAGTGCTGAACACTTTAGAGTACAACTAGATCTTGCTGGAGCCTAAGCGTGGTTCTAGTATGTATATCTGCATACGCACATGTGGGGGCACACGCGCACACACATACATATGTACGTTTTTTATATATACGCAATCAACGCTTGGACTCACGGATGCTTACTTGAATCGTCAGAACTAGGCATGCGTGTTTGGGATTTGCGGAGCGTTGTCTGAGTATGTTGGGAGGAAGTCAAGGTGAGGGAGAGGTTTTGAACCCCTCTCCACCTCCTTAAAAGGGCGCGGTGGTGGGTGTTCGAAACCCCTGCCCCCCCCCCCTTTCCAGAGTGCAAGTCGGGGGGGTGGTTTCACTCCCCCCCCGCGCCAGCGCCCCCACCGGGCCGAGGCAAACGACGCCGAAGACGACGAAGACGAAGACGAGCACTGGACCACGAGGGTGACCGTGACGACGACGACGACGTTTAGCCGCCCGCCCGCCCGACTCAACAAAGATGACATCGACGACGAGCCGCCAACTTGTCCGACCGACGGACTCGCCCACAACAACGATAACGCTGACTACGACTACGACGATGACGAGGATGAGGAGGAGGGCGACAATGATGACGGGGACGATCACGACGACGACGTGTCCCGCCCGCCTGCCCGACTGCCCACGACGTCGACAACGTGTCCCGCCCAGCCGCCCGACCGACCGAGTCGCCGGCAAGCGACGACGACGACGTGCCCCGTCCGCCCGCCCAACCGACGCCCGGCGCCGGCGAAGGACGACGACGCGGCGAGGGAGGGGGAGGTGTTGAACCCTTCCCCCCTGACTCTGAAGGATTGGGGGGGTTCTTGCCAGGGAGCCCTTGTGCACTTTGGCGGGCCAGGCCTCCAGCGTGCTTTGCATCCTTGATGCTGGGTGCAATTAGCCAGTGTGCGGCCGATGTATATTGTCGCGACAGTGACGTCACTGGCAGAGCACATTGTGTGTGCTTGTAGCTCGCTGGGTCGCACTTCCATATTGCTCGCGCGACAGTGATGTCACTTTGCCTGCGGAGGGACGTTGTGCCTGTGTGTGTGTGCAGGGGTCGCCGAATTGAGTTGCTTCCTCGGTTTTATGGCCGCTGCACGGTTCGCTTGGATTTACACTTCTTCCTTCTCACCACCCACCGCTGCATTTGACAGTGTGCACGGTCTGTACACTGTGCCTTCGACGACGCTCGGTCGCAATTGACACCTCCGTCTGCCCTCCGAACTTGCGGATCCTCTGCGCCGCCGACCGAATTTGCACGGGTCGCGCAGCTGGCCTTTCGCGTCTTTTCCATCTTCGTATTGCCCCGCCCGTTTCTCTCTTGTTGTTGCTTTTGCGCGTCTCGCCTGCTGCAGTGTGCTGCCATCCCACGCTGCCCGCGCGGCTGCTCTGGGCGGGACGCGAGAGCCTCCGCATCGCCTCCGCCCCTCAAGACTCTTGAGTGCAGTGTGTGCCATTGTTGCGCACCGCCCCCGAGGAATCCAAACGGCGTGCACATGAACTTCGCAGGTCCGCGCAGATTTCCTGGTCGGCGTTGGGCCCCCTGCGACGGCGCCCCTAGCGCCGCCCCTGGAGCGCTCCACGCGCCGTGGGAATGAAGGAGGTTTCCAGCGCCGACCCAAACAGTTCGCGCGGACCTCCGAAAACTTGTGCTCGTTTTTGGGTTCCTTGCTTGTCAGGGAGTGCCCTCTTTCTTTCCCTCTCCGTGGCCGCTTCTCCTTCTTCGTCTGCATTCGCGTCTGCGTACCGCTGCAGACAAATGGTCCCTCTGTTTCCGCAGGTGTCCTTCGTAGTGGGCTCCAACGCCCCCGAGGCGCTGCAGAAGGTGCTGGCGCCGCGGCCAGGGGGCGCGCGCGGCGCCGCGCGCCAGAGTCGTACGTGCAAGAGGAAGGATGCCGGTGATGAACCTGCTGCTGCTGTCGATGATACTGATGATGTGGCAACTGTTACTGCAGATCATGATGATCATGATGATGATGATTATGATGCTGCTGATGGTAATGAGGATGGTAATGCTGATGATGATGGTGGTGCTGATGATGATGGCGATACTGATGCCGATGATGCGATTGATGATGAAGATGATTAGGGTGAGGATGATGATGAAGTCGATGAGGATCATGCTGACGAAGATTAGCATGATGTTGCAGCTGATGATGATGATGATGATGATGATGATGATTCTGATGATAATGGTGGTCGTTGCGATGATGTGAATGATGTCTTTGATGGTGACGATGCTAATGGTGGCGACGATGAGGGTAATGATGCTGCTGATGATGATGGTAACTATTATGATGGTGGTGATGATGATGTTAATGATGACGGTGATGATTGATGTTGATGGTGATAGGTGATGATGTAGATGACGATGATGATGTTGAGGATGGTGATGACGATGATGAGGATGATGCTGCTGCTGCATATGCTGACGATGCTGATGATGTTAATGGTGGTAGTGATGATGGTGGTGATGATGACGATGCTGTTGATGGTGGTGGTGTTGTTGATGATGGTGTTGCTCCTGCTGATGCTGGTGGCGATGATGATGACAATGTGGCTGATGGTGGTGATGATAAAGGTGGTGATGCTGATTATGCTGATGATTATTATGAGGATAAGGACGATGAGGATGATGCTGCTGATGCGGATGGTTTTGATAAGGATGATCATCTCGATGATGATGCGGATGATGGTAATGATGATGATGATGCTCATGATGATGAAGATGCTGCCAATTTTGCTGACCATGGTGGTGGTTGTGATGATGGGGATGGTGATGCTGACGATGACGATGATGGCTGTGATGATGATTATGCGGATGATGCTGCTAATGATGATGATGATGATGATGGTGATGGTGATGGTGATGATGGTGAGGATGATGATGATGATTGAAATGATGATGATGACGATGATGATGACGGTGATGATTCTGATAGTGGCGATGCTGACCATGTTGATGCTGGTGATGATGATTAGGATGACGATGCTGCTGCTGCTGACGATGATGATGATGCTGATGATGATGATGAAGATGCTTGCTGATGCTGCTGATGATGATGGTGGTGGTGATGATTGTGATGATGTTGATGATGACGATGCTGATGCTGATGATGATGTTGACGGCGGTGATGATGATGAGTCTGATGATAATGATGATGATAACCAAGATGAGGGTGACGAGCATGATGCTGATGCTGACGGTCATACCGATGATGGTAATATTATGATGGTGGCGATGATGGTGATAATGATGATGATGATGGTGATGATGATGAAGATGGTGATGATGGTGATGACGATGGTGCTGATGATGATTCTGATTTTTTGGGGATGGTTGTTATGCTGGTGGTGATGCTGATGATGATGACGATGACAATGCCGATGCTCATGATGGTGGTGTTGTTGTTGATTGTGATGACGATGTTGATGATGACGACGATGACGATGGTGGCAGTTATGGTGTTGTTGACGATGACGGGGATGATGACGGTCATGATGATCATCGATGATGGTGTTGCCGAGGACAATTGTAATGGATTTGATGGTGGTGATGTTGATTATTGCGTTGTTGATGACGGCGGTGATCATGGTGACTATTCTGCTAATTTTGATAGTGGTGATGAAAATTATGATGACGATGATGGGGATGATGATGTTGATGACGATGATCATGCTGATGCTGGTGCGATTGAGGATCATGATTCTGAGGATGATGATGAAGATCATGATGAGGGTGATGATGCTGCCCCAGATGATGATGAGGATGCGGATGATGCTGATGATGACGATGATGTCACATAATGATGATGGCGATTGTGATGATGGTGATGGCGATGATGCTGATGCTGATCATGTTTTTTTGGGGGGATGATGGTTATGCTGGTGATCAGGCTGATGCTGATGATGATGATGATGATGATGACGGTGACGATGATCATGATGGTGGTTGTGTTGTTGTTGATGGTGATGATGACGATGTTGTTGATGACGACGATGACGATTGTGGCAATTATGGTGTTGTTGATGATGATGGAGAGGATGATGGTCATGATGATTATCAATGATGACGTTGCTGATGACTATTGTAAGGGGTTTGATGGCGGTGATTTTGATTATGGCGTTGTTGATGGTGGCGATTATCCTGATGACTATGCTGCTAATTTTGATAGTGATGATGAAACTTATGATGATGCTGATGGGGATGATGATGTTGATGGCGATGATGGTGCTGATGCTGGTGCGGATGAGGATCATGACTCTGAGGATGATGATGATGATGATGAGGGTGATGATGCTGCCCCAGATGATGATGAGGATGATGCTGATGATGACGATGATATCATATAATGATAATGATTAGGAACCTGGCGATCGTGATGATGCTGATGATGACGATGCATAGGACTCTGATGCTGATGCGCATGCTGCTGCTGATGATGATTACGATGCTGATGATGATGTATGCTGATCGTGATGACGAGGATGATTATGGGGATGATGATGGGAACGAGGATGACGCCGCTGCTGCAATTGATGATGGTGATGGTGATGATGATGCTGCTGACGATGATGATGATGATGATGATGATGATGATGATGATGATGATGATGATGATGATGATGTTGGGTTGATGATGGCGATGATGCTGATGATGATGATGGTGATACTGATGAGGATCAAGCTGATGATGAGGATGATGATAATTGGAAGAAGGATGATGATGATGCTGTTGATGATGATGATGATGATGATGGTTTGGATAATGATGATGCTAATGATGATGATGCTGATGATACAGATGATGATGGTGGCGATGATGATGATCATGATGATGAGGATGTTGATGATGATGATGATGATGATGCTGTTAACGATGATGCTGGTTGCTGACGATGATGATAATACTGATGACGACGACGATGATGATGATGATGACGACGATGATGGTGATGACGACGATGATGGTGATGACGATGTGGACGAGGATTCTGTTGATGGTAATGTTAGTGGTGGTGATACTGATTATGATGCTGATGCTGTATGGTAACGATCATCAGGGTGACGACAAGGATGATGATGATGATGATGAGAGTGATGATGAGGATGCTGGTGATGAGGATGAGAATGATGATGATGATTAAGCTGCGGCTGCTGATGAAGACGATGGTCGTGGTGGTGTTGGTAATGATGGTGGTATTGATGTTTATACCGGCGATGCTGATTATGATGATGATGATGGTGGCGATGATGATGATGATGATGATGATGATGATACCGATAATCATGATGATAATAAGATGACGATGATGGTGATGGTGACGAGGATGATGATTCTGAGTGTGATTATGGTGATGATGATGACGATGATGATGATGATGTTGCTGCTGCTGATGATGATGACGACGATGATGCTGATAGCGATGATACTGGCTATGATGGTGACGGTGATGTTGCTGATTGTGATAATTATTATGATGGTTATGGAGCTGATCCGGATTTTCTGTGCTGCTTACTATGATGATGCTGCTGCTGCTGATGATGATGATAATGGGTAGGATGGTGGCGATGCTGATAATGCTGGGGATGACGATGCTGACGATGATGATGATGATGATGATGATGATGATGATGATGATGATGATGGCGATGATGATGCTGACGATGACGATGACGATGATGATGATGATGATGATGATGATGATGATGATGATGATGATGCGAATGTTGATGAGGCTGATCGCGATGGTGATGGTGATGCTGATTTTCCTGATGTTAGTAGTGTTGGTTGTGATGATGTTGATGCTGAGTTCGATCATGACGATGATTCTGATGATGGTGGCGATGATGATAGTGTTGCTGCTGATGATGATGACAGTGATGATGACAATGAGTAGAATGGTGGCGATGAAGATGATGATGGGGATGATGATGATGACGATGATGACGATGATGATGCTGCCGCTGATGATCATGCTCTTGTTGATGCTGCTGATGAGGATTCTACTTATGGTGATGATTGTGATGCGGATGATGATGATGATGATGATGATGATGATGATGATGCTGAATATGAGTATGAGGATGAGAATGAGGACGAGGATGAGAATGATAACGATGATGTATGGTGATGGCGATGCGGATGATGATACTAAATGACCAGGATGATGATGATTATGCTACTGATGAAGATGACGGTGGTGGTGGTAGTGATGGTGATGATGAGGGTGGTGCTGACGATCTTAATACTGGCGTTGATGATGCTGATGCTGCTGATGATGATAATCATGATGGTAATGATGATGATAATGATGATCATCACCATGACTCTGATGGTGGCGATGATGATGATGATGATGACGATGATGATGATGATGATGATGATGATGATGATGGTGGTGGTGGTGGCAATGATGATGATCATGATGATGATGATGATGATGATGATGGCGACGACGATGCTGATGCTTCTGATGATGATGACGTATGATGCTGCTGCTTCTGCTGCTGCTGCTGCTGGTGATGCCGATGGTAGTTGTGATGGTGGTGGCGATGATGTCGATGATAATGATAATTATGATGATAATTCTGATGATGATGATGACGATGATGATGGCTGTGATGATGATACTGCTGCTGATGATGCCGACGTGGACGATGATGATGATGATGACGATGATGACGATGATGATGCTGCTGATGATGATACTGATGCTGATCTTGCTGATGATGCTGATGATGATGGTAATAGTGGGACTATCAGCATCATAAGTATGATTGTGATCATGATCATGATGCTGATGGTGATGATTGTGATACCGAGGAAGATCATGATGATGATCATGGTGATGATGATGACGATGATGACGCTGATGATGAGGAGGAGGAGAAACAATATGATGATGATGCTGCTGATGATGTTGTTGATGATGATGATGATGATGATGATGGTGATGGTGATGATGGTGAGGATGATGATGATGATGATGACGATGACGATGATGATGAGGAGGAGGAGGAGGAATGGTATGAGGTAGGAAGCAGGAGGAGGAGGAGGAGGAGGAGGGGGAGGAGGAGGATGAGTGAGGACAAGGGTGTCCGAGGTTCTATCGGTTCGGCTGCGTCGCAGTCGGTTGCCTTCGCTCAGTTCGGTTCGGTCGGTTTCCGTGTCGTTGCTGCATCGACGTGCCCTTCTGGGCTGCTTGCGGCGTGTGGGTTCTGTCGACGGCCTGGGAAGACCGCGCCCGCTGCCGCGAGAGGTGCAGTGGCCGTCTGAGTGGCCCTACACCCCCGAGGACTTCCGGCGTCAGGAGCCTGACCTACCCCCTGCCTTTTCGATATCTCGACGTCTCGGCGTTCGTCGTCCGCTGTTCGAGGTTGGTCGTCCGTCGTCGTCGTCGCCAATCGTCATCATCGTCGTCGTCGTCGTCGTCGTTCGTCGTCGTCGTCGTCGTCGTCGTCATTGTTCGTCGTCGTTGTTGTCGTCGTGCGTCGTCGTTTGTCGCCGTTCATCAGTCGTCGCCGCTCGCTTCGGGGGCGCGTCGCTCGTCGATGCATTTTGTGTGCGTGTGTGCAACTCGTCTGCAACCCCGCGACGGTCTGCTTGCTCTGAGCGGTCCTGTCTTCTCCTTCCCTCTCTCCCCCCGCATTCCGCCATGCCCCCATTCGCCTCCGGCGCGCCCCGCCCCGCAGCCCGAGCGGCGCCTGCATTTGCCTCGGCTCGCTTGCGCCCGCTGGCCTGTAAAAGTGTGTGTGGATGTGTGTGTGTGTGTGGATGTGTGTGTGTGTGTGTGTGTGTGTGTGCTGTCTCCTTGCGTGCACCGCGGCCGAATTGCTTCTAGCGTGCCCCAGTGATGCCCTATCGCCGGAGCAGTCACCCTCTGCCCAGCTGCCGCCGCCGCCGACGCAAAAGAGTGTGCAGGGCTGGACCTAAACGCTGTTTTGCAGGACTTCCGCTGTGTTTTGTTTCTCGTTTTGGCAGGGAGGTACAGGAAAGCAGGTCGAGCAGAACGGAGCACAGAACGGGAGCAGAACGAAGAACAGCGTTTAGGTCCAGCCCTGGTGTGTGATAGTTAAAAAGTGCCTCAGTGTCTTGGTGTCCAGGCAGGCTCGACGGTGCCAGTGCGCGCCCAAGGCGCCACATTTGACTGGCTGTTGCCCCTTCGTCCTCCCGGCTTTGTTCCTCCACGGGGTCGCAGCGTCCGTCAGTCCTGGCTGGCAGTGGTGCTGGGACGATCCCCTGGGGGCTCGCCGAGGCTTTGGAGAAGCACTCCTCGCATCCGAGCGCGGACAAAGCGTCGTGGCGGGCGTTTCTGCCTCGTCGGGGGTCCCAGGGGTCCATCGCGGATCAATGCGGTTCCACAGCCGTTGCAGATGTGTGGGCTCCTTCGAGGGCTCTCTGGTACGAGCAGGTTGCCGCGTGTGATGCACGCGCACGTGGCTTGGTCCTTTCCCCTCGGTCTGCCCCTTCTTTCATTTCCTCGCTCACTTCTGTTCCCTCCATGTCCTGCCCACGCTCCTCTTGCCACCCCATGGACCTCCTGGCTGCGTGCGGAGGGTGCTCCGAGGAACAGAGCCGGTGCTTTTTTGGCGGCGTTGCAGGCCCATCCCGTTCGGGGAATTGCAAGCGGAATTGCTGGGCCACCTTCGGGCCATGTCTTGAAGTGGTTATGATAGCAATTCTGGTTGCAATGCCGATCGCAATTTCTCTTTAAATTTTGCTTGTGCGCTCAAGGGGTCAAGGCGCACTGTGAGTGCAATTGCGAACATGTCCGCGCCTGTTCGACATGCGCTTTGCACGCATGCCTAGACCCTCGTGCCATAATCTGGAACTCCCTTCACACCCGTGCGCAGCGCCGAAGACGCTTTCATCGTCGGTTTCGTCGTTCTCCCTCCTCTCTTCTTAGGGGGGCTGGCACAACACGTACCCGAAGAGGTGGGCATCACAACTTCTACGATGAGCAATCTTTTCGCAAGTGCGGAGAGGGAAGGTTATCCAGGAAATCCGCCCTCTATGGCGTCCACCTCCCACCTCCAAGGACGAATCGGAGGACGAGGTGTTCTACGTCCAGCCTCGCCTCTGCCAGCACGTCTCGGCGGCGCGCACGGGGTGGCGGGACGAGGGGTGTCGCCCGTAGGGTGGCGTGGGGGACTCCAGAGGGCCCACGACGCTCCCACAATAGCCACAGATGGGCCCGGCTGGCCTCCAAGATGGCCACAAGGCGGCTTCTTGGAAGGCCTCCCACTGGAAGCTCTCCTGGAAGCCTCCCGGCCCTTCGAAGAAGCCTCCCTGCCCTCTCAGATGGCCACCGCCCCGTCGGCCACAGTCCGCTCAAAAACCCGTACCCGGACCCGTGCCAGGGTTTCCCCTGGCCAGTTTTTTTCCAGCCGCGTCCAGTCGTGACGACGAAGGAATGCAAGGTGGTGGAGGAAAGGAGGAGTAGTCTAGGCCTCCTAGATGGGGTCGGAGTTGATGGGGTTGGAGGATCGCGCCGCATCGCTGATGCATCGGTCATGCATCGGCGATGCGGCTCGATGTGTGGCCCAATTTTCTCCACGCCGACTTATTTGATAGAGCAGTGAACGTAGTAGAGTCGAGCTCAGAGGCATGTGCAGCGTCACGTAGCCGATACGGCTCAAGCTGCGCAGTTGATATCATAACTCTAATTACTGCAGGTAATACCAATATCATAAGCATCAATACACTACCTCATCTTTCACTACGTGATATCAAGATATCTTGCTGGTGGTATTGTTTAACTCTTGTCGAGTTGATCTACGTCTTCGCCAGACGCGCGGAGAAGGAAAGAGTGCGATCGTCTCATAGCATCGCCGACATCGAGGTTGTTATCGACAACTCTAGCTGGTAGCGGAGCTGGCATTGCCAGCTCCACGGACAACGAAGAACCCGATATTTCATCAAGATGTTCAGGTCTCCAGTCGGACAGTTTCAGCCCTTCGGAGATGGCCGTGGAGCAGGAGCAGGACGTGGACGCACAGCATGGCCATATGGACAACACGTACCAGAACCCAGAGACTGGAACCTGATGAGAGGAAGTATGACAAACCCGCCACCGTGGGCACCAGAGATGGAGCAGCAGTATCCTTTCAGGAATTGGTTGACAGATGCGGTGGCGTGGTGCAACGCGACGAACTTGGACGAGAACAAGAAGGGACCACAGTTGGAACTGTCGCTGGGCGGTATTGCAAGAGATAGGATTCGTGAACTACCTCTTCACTCGAAGATCAATGGAGCAGATATGGATCTCGGCGACGGTGCAGGACTGCAGCGATTGAGCGGAGCAGGTTTCATCCTTCAAGCGTTGGCCAGGCAGTTCTTACCGCTCGAGGAGGAGACGAATCTTCGGAGTTTGGCCTACTTGTACGGATTTGCGAGGATGCCCAGCGAGAACATAGACACTCTGCTCACGCGCTGGGAGGTTGTGCTGCAGCGAGCGAGGACGCGATCAAACAGAGCAGTACAGCATCATCATGCGGCCTGGATGTTGTTGATGGCGTTGCGTCTTCCAGCCGAGTCTTGGGTGCAAGTTCTCGCGCCTTTTCAGGGAACACTTCCAGTGGACGACATGCAGTATCGACAGTTCTTATCATATATCAAGAGGTTTGGGCACCTTGCTGAGAGCGGAAGTCATAACATTATGAACCCAGCGACGCACGGCCCTTCTGTGATGCACACCCAGGACACGACATTCATGACGGCAGATATGGGATACGCCACACCGCCACGGCAAGGTGGTGGACCATTTGCTCCAGCCCTGTCTTATCATACTCAGATGGATGGCGAATGCTACTACGACGATAGCGACACCTCGGGCGACAACGGCGAAGCTGATGCAGTGTTGTTTGGACGAGAAGAGGATGAGCCAGATATGTCAGCATGGTCTTATAACGATCGTTCCGAATATTACTATCAAAAGTACAAGCGCTATCGCAAGAAGTGGAGACGCTTTGTTGGGAAAGCACCGCGGCGCATGCGTGGGCCTGTTCGTCGACGGCACTACTTCGAGGACGACGTTGACTTCGTTGGCAAGTCAGGCATGGGCGGGGCAGGCAGAAAGGGAAATCCTATTGGCACAGATGGACAGCCGCTGACATGTTCAACATGTGGATCGACGCAACATCTGTGGAGACGCTGTCCGAACGGAGCTGGAAAAGGCAAAGGTGGCAACGGAAAAGGATTCGCTAATGACCAGCAGGCGCCGGGCCACATGCACACGCATGGAGGAGCGCAGGTGCCAGCGGCAGCTCCTGCCTTTGCTCAAGGGCCTTTGGCAGGGTTGCCCTCTGTTCCCCGCTTCTTCGTGACGGAGGAGACGCACGCAGAGTATCAAGTTCAGAGTGCGACCTCAGCTACTTCGTGGATGGTTGTTGAAGACGCGGCGCCAGCAGCAGATCCCGAAGAGGGGCGCGATGATCAACTTGTCGGAGGCTTCGATGATCGATATGCGGCGTACCCAGAGGCACTTCCCCCGCAGCAGCGAGCCCTGTACGAGCAGCATCAGATGCAGATGATTTCCAGGCAGCAGTTGGTCACGCAGCAGATGCAGCAGGGCTTGCCTCCTCAGGCTATTGCAGCAGCTTTCACACCCCCGCCCAATATGATGAACACGATGATGCATGGAGGTGGTCAGTTAGTGCAGAACTGGGGAGGTGGACTTTTCTCTGCTCCATGGGGAGTATCATCTTCGCAGGTGGGCGTACCTTCGATGATTGGATCGACTATGCCAAATATGATGCACACGGGTGACGGATCATCATCGACGACGGCTTCAGGCAGAACGGCTCTGCCATCATCATTGGTACAGCAGTTGGTTTCTATGTCAGCCGCGGCGGGGCGGCCCGCAGAGCAAGGATATACGACGCCGCCGGCAGCCACGCGCGAGGATGTGTTTCATTCCCCAGAGAGCCAGCGAGGACCAGCAGAAGCCATGATCACGATTGCTACCAATCAAATGGAAGTGGCCAATCTGCGTTTGGAAGCAGCAGTGCGCATGCCAATGGACGGCCCAGTGCGCAACGTACCTCGGCGCGAGACCAACGAGGAGCACTGCATTATTTGCTAGGAGCGCGAGGTGACCACCAAGGTCATGCCATGTGGACATGCTCATTTCTGTTTGGATTGCGCTGGTCTGGTATACAATGGGGCAGTTGGAGATCCGCCCAAGTGTCCACTGCGTCGTGCGCTGGTCACTTCACTTGAGCGGGCCGCGCAGGAGAACGTAGCCGAGCAAGTTCACGAGAGGCCTCAGGTATCATCAATGATGGAGAACTTGGCATCGGTTTTGCGTGAGATTGCGAGCAGAAGTGGATCCAACGCTATCGTGCCTCATGGCTGCCAGTTTGCACTGGCGGTTGCACCGCAGCAGCGACGCAACCTGATTACGGAGATGGCCGCCCTCGGGCAAAGCGACGCGCCTCAGGAGCCTCGTCGTCTTCTTTCTTTGTACCATGGTGGCCTTCAGGGATCACCGGGGAAGAGTACGAGGTGTTCGCCAGCGACCTAGCTCTGCAGAACGACGAGGTGGGCCTGATGCCAGATACTGGAGCTCATGATGGACTATGTGGTGATCAGTGGGCCAGGCGTCAGGCAGTCAAGTGTCAGGAGTTCGGCAAGAAGGTGGATCAGCAGGCGTTGATCGAGCCCAGGTATGTTGCAGGCGTCGGCAACGGAGCACAGCAGGCGAACTTTGAGGTGGAGCTGACGACGGGCATGGTGGACACGGATGGCGTATACCACGAGGAGGAGTTCAGGTCGCCGTGCATAGAGAACTCTGGCGTGCCTGGCCTCACGCGCTTATTCGATGCAAGACGGGCGAGATATGGTTCTTGGGTCCTGGCGGAGTCGAGGTCGAACCTTCGCCGGGCAGTCGCCATTTCCAGATGGACAAGTCTAAGTCAGGTCATTGGCAAATGCCTATCAGTCGTTTCAGGCGTAAGCAGGACGGCAAGACAAGCAACATGGTGATGACCACCGAGGGTGCCAGTGACGTGATTACGGTGACGGCAGGATCAGCATCAGGATCAGCATCAACACCAACTACCAGGACACCGACGAGTCGTTCAAAGTCGGTGAGCTGGTCTTCCTCTACCGACTGACAAACCGAGGCGGGCTGCCTCAGCCCGGAGGCAGCGCCGCCGACCCCAGGGCCGGCGTGTCAGATTGCCGGCGAGGAGGACAAGGTGGAGGGAGGAGTTTTGGGAGCGTCGTCTAGCTCCAAGTATGTGGTGTTGATAAGTGAAGATGCGCAGTTGCAGCAGCAGCAGAGTGAACGATATCCGCACTTACGAGTAGTATCCCGTATTTTTTTCTGGAATCTTCGCGGTTGGAAGCACGCGATGCCTTTGTGAGAGATTCTTTCTTGGTCGTTGCAGAGCTCCCGCGATGCAGCGCGAGTTCGGGAACGCGCAATGATCGGAAGATCCTGGACATATTTACGACGTATCTTACCAGTTGCCGCAATATGGATTTTGCGCTGATGGCGCCGAGAAGATCGAATACGTGGCAGATGGCAGCTATTCAGTCAATTGTGAATATGAAGCAGGTGCAAGTCTCTTATCATCAGGTGTGTGCCCGGGACGTGAGGGCACCTTCTACTTCTAAGCCTTCGAGGATGTGTATGCAGTTGGTAGCCGCCAAGCACATGGACAGCACGGTATTTCTTCATGAGTCCTCTGCCGGACATGATGTAGATATGAAATGTTCTTTCGACAATGCAGGCGAGCTGGCCGAGCCGCGACTGGAAAATCATCGTACGATCGTGGGTAAAATTATTCAGTTGATTCAGAAGGCATATCTCGACAACGGCATGTTCACCGCGACCAGGGCCGACTTGCTAGAGTATACGGAGCAGCCCACGAACGAGAACATCAGCATCGCGGTGCCGACCGATTCGAAAGAGAGACAAAAGCAGAAGAAAGCCAAAGAGAAAGCTACGGGTTCGACGAGTTCAGCAACTGCGTCAACCAAGAGACTAAGACAGTTCGAGAAGCATTATGATGATTGTGGACAAGATTGGAGCGGACTGGGCAAGGACATGATGATGACCATGGGGTTCTCCAGGGACGGTGAGGCCAGCGA